TAAATTGAATTCAGATGAAAAATGTAAAACTTTTTTTTTTTAAATCAAAGCTGCAATATCAGCCACCAGTGGAGTACAAATAATACAATGTATACTTTATTGTATTAGTGTATTTTAAGAATAAATAAATAAGATTTAAATTGATGGTGAATGTATGGCTCAATGTAACGTTTGTTTAAATCAAAGTCAGTTGACCTGTGTTAAAAAGCCATTAGCTGATCGTGTGTGTTGGACATTTTTTGGCCACGTTCACACTGCACGCGAAAGCTCATCAAATCCGATTTTTTTTTTTTGAGCCTATGCGACCCATATCTGATCATGGTATGACAGTGCGAACGGCACAAATCCGATATTTTCAAATCCGATCTGGGTCACTTTCGTATGTGGTACTGAATCCGATGTTTTAGAAAGCGACTGCTGTTTGAACGGTCATGTCGCATTAAATCCATCTGTTACGTCACTGACACAAGACAGACGGCTATTATCAGCGCCCGAGAAGACATCGTGAACACTTCCTGGCCATCCAGTGTAGATGTTAGTGAAACTATTGGGAAGACAACGTGAATGTTTTATTTGTACTGTATAATCTGCAGATTCTGACAGAAATCTGCAACTATCCTCTGAAGCACCGCTCCTCTAAAACAGCAGTAAGGATAATTATTAGGTTATTTACATTATTATCTGTCAGTGCGCCCCAGGGTGGCTGTGGCTACAACGTAGCTTGCCATCACCAGTGTGTGAATGTGTGTGTGAATGGGTGGATGACTGGATATGTAAAGCGCTTTGGGGTCCTTAGGGACTAGTAAAGCGCTATATAAATACAGGCCATTTACCATTATGTAAATAATAAAATAACTTAAAGCAAAAATTGGAAAACGTAAAGTCCGAAGTCTTTATATTAAGGGCCATCAGTCAAACAATATTGTTTTCTCTGGGTCTAAACAGAGCGCGTTGTGTGTGATGTCTTCTTTTGTGCATGCGGGCCACTTTGAGCGTTCACACGCGTTTGCTGTCACATTTTATTTGTAGTGTGAACAAGCAGACAAAAAAAATTGGATTTGATCAAAAAATCGGAATTGAGCGTTAAGACCTGCAGTGTGAACATCGCCTTTTTGACGTGGTTTAACACTACCCAACTGTCTGTTTCAAACCAGGTCTGAACAAAGAAGGCAGGTTTCTTTTTAGCACTCAGTATAATTAATCCATCCCTCCCTTACAAAAGGGTCCCTACCCCTGCTTTTCTCCGGCCCGTCCCATTGGCATTTTAGGGCAGAGAGATTCAGCAGGACCCCCGGGCACCCTCCTGCCCTGACCCCTGCCCCCCCACCAGGGGAGCATCTGTGGATCGATCCAGGGCCAGCTGGCACCAGGGGGAGAGAGGCAGGACTGGTAGTCTAAGACGAGGTCTGCTCCAACACAGATACACTCTTCTTGACTGGAATTTATTAAAAAAAATGAGGCACTGTGGGTAGTTTCAGGTTTGCATGCTCTTATTTATTTATTTATTTATTTATTTATTTTAAGAAGAGCCTGAATTTTTTTAGTTAAATAGATTCCAAGTAGAAGCTTAACCTTGATTTCTGTTGATGCACTGTAGTTGTAAAAAGATGCAACTAGGGGGCAGCATGCAGCCATCACCCCTCCCTCCTTTACATCCTACATCCTCTGCCTGTGCCCGTCTTCTTCTCCTACTCCTGTTGTGCTTCCTCTGCACACACATTTAGTCCTCCTCCTGGCTCAGGAAAAGAGCATATTGATAGTTCTATCCTCTCTGTAATAAATTAAACTTCTACATTGTCCTCCCTTTTCATTTTACACATTGTCACAACCTCCTAGTCCCTCTAATCCCAGTTACCCCCTCCACTTCCCCGCTCACCATCACCTTCTCTCACACACACATTGATTGACAAGTAGCATCTGGGGAAATGGAGCACATTCCCATTGTTTGCTGCCACTACTCAAATCTGTTGAAATGGTTATTCCATTCTTCCGTCAGAGTATTTGCATATCCTTAAGTATTTCCTATTTTCCCCACCTCCCCTTTCTCCCCATCCTCCTTTTTGCTAAATCCCCTCTTCTTAAGTGTTTAGTGCATTTGGAAAATTCATAAAGTATCTGCATGCGCTATTAGCTTAGTATAATAGCCAGGGTGTAATCTGCAGAGAGATAAGAGGTGGGAAGAGAGTGCTTTTTTTATTTTTTATTTCCTCATCTTCTTCCTGTCCTGATGGGGCTGCTCTGTGGACAATCACTGTGCCGATGATATGTCATTATGTTCCCCAGCCAATGCGACAAGGCTCAAATGTCAAGAGGAAATGTCAAGAGGCCTTGCTTCTGTAGTTTTTATTTATTTATTGGTCTGAGAGAGGCGTGAGGTACTAAGGAGGAGGCAAAGAGGGAGAGAGATGGAAGGATAGGAGGGTTCGTAGCGATGTAGTGTTGGATATCGACAGGAGATGGAGAAATGGAAAGGTGGAGTAGAGGCTAGAGATACAGATTCAGATCAGCTGTTTTCACTCCTGAGTAAGGATGTATACTAACTGGGTTCACACAGTCTTTGGCTGTGCTCTACTGTACTGCTACCACATGCCAGCTGCTTTAGCCTCAGCAGTGTCAAACTTAGTTTCACACTGTTTAAGGCCACACCGAGAAATGACAATGGCATTAAGGGCCAGACATTTAAAATGTACTGATAATCTTGAGTTTCATTGAAAATGCCACGCTCATATAGCCTTTTTATAGACCGTTTTGCCCACTTATACCCTTATTAATGTATTCTGATTACAGAAAACGACTGCCAACTCGCAACAGTTTTTCTTTCACTGGTTCTTGCACATTTCTACAAGTGTTATTGTGTTTAATTGGGCCAAGCATCCACCCATCATCCATCCAGGTGAGAGTCACGGAGGCAGTAGTCTAAGCAGCAATCTGCAGACCTCCCTCTCCTCCAGCCTGTCCTGGTTCTGCCCCCAGGGTCTCCTTCTTTTGGATTTGCCCAAAACACCTCATCTAAGAAGCATCCAGGTGGCATCTTAGTCAAACGCCTGAACCACCTCAACTGACTCCTCTTGACTTGGAAGAGTAGCAGCTCTGAATAACTCAGCTCTTCACCATCTGTGTAAGGTTGAGCCCAGACACTCATTTAATACCACTTGTATCCATTACCTTGTTTTTTGGGAGACCACCAGAGCTTATTTGGCCATAGCTGAGGACAGAAATAAGACCAACGACTAAACTATATGTTTAGCTTTCTCTTCACACAGCAGACGAGTACAGGCCAACCCATCTGCCAGTCTGCTGCTGCAATTCTTTATTCATCCTCTACTCTAAAAACACATTTCCAACCCAGAATGAGTACTTCACTCTTTCCCAGCCGAGATCCCAATTCTCATCCCAGACCACTCCAGTGGAGGTTTCCCTTTGATGGAGTCAGCAAAACTGTCTGAAAAAGAACCGTCATCTGAAAACAAAGGCTCTCTCACCTCAGAGTAGTCTGTCTCAAGCATCAACTTATTTGTTTTATTATGTGTTATCAAATTTGTTAGCTTATAGGTAAAATATAATTTGACATGTGCAAAGTTCATATAAGCTGGTGAAGGCTTGGATTGTTTACTTCAGTGTTTATTGTGTCCACTTCTTCAGTATTTCCGGCCACAGTTATTTGCAGTTTGAGTATCACATGTTGGGTCTCGTATGGTTGGCCTGTAACACTTTTAATCTCTATTTGGAGCTTACATATTTTCTCTCTATATTACCAAAAGCTTTACCACTCTGTACTGATACAAATTCTGTGTGTGTGAGAGTGTGTGTGAATACCCTGCAGTCCTCAGCGATAAGGCTGAGATTGAGTTTTCCCCCACAGAGCCATAGCGTCCAAGGAGTGTGTGTGTATGTGTTTGTGTGTGAAGACATCAGGAAACAGGCAATGTAAAGAGCTTGTATCGCTTTATCTAGCCTATCCGCCAGAGTGTATGTGTATATGTATATGTGCTCTCAGACTGGTGTAGTGTGAAAGGGAGCTTGCTGGTTTGCTTTGTTCGGTATTGTGCGCACGAGAGGATGAATCCTCAGGGCTCGATTCACAGCTGAGAAAAGTAGGTATTTTTCTGTGGTATAGCTGGATGCAGCTTTTAGACAGCCGTGCAGTGAAATGGAGACAAAAAGTGAGAGCAGGCGAAACCAGGCATTTTAAAAAGAAAAGAGAACATGTGCCGTACCGCTGCCTGCTGCTTTCATTCTGGCTGGCCTGTGAAGGGACGTGTGAGACAGGTTGGTTTTGGTGCTAAGATCAGTGCCTTCTCCCATGCAAATAGGGAAAAAGAACATTTAACCAGGAAACGCATGACAAAAACAGAATCAGTTAAAAGAGAGGAGGCACAAGAGAACCGAGAGGGGCATGGTATGTCAGTGGTATCAACACAGCAAGGAGGTGAACCAGCCTGATATTCACTGACAGCATGGTGCTTCCATAGCAGGCAAAACCCATCAGTTTTTGTTGGAGGGAGGGCAGACAAAAGGCTGGAGCATCCCCAACTGTTTAGTTTCCATATCTAGCAGTCAGTGACAAGGCTTTCCGGCAGTTCTTATTTTTAACACACGGTCCTCTGGTGAGCAGCTTGCATCCACACACACACACACGCAGGGCCATGTCACTGATTGTATAACTCTTATCACCTGGTCTGTGGCATATTCCCAAATTCTAATTTGACTGCTAGCCCCTGGCCCAGAGCCCATCTCTGAAAAGAAGTACAGCAAAAATGGCTTCAGCGCGGACCTTTGATAGGAAATATCAGGAGGGATTTTACAGCAGAATTCACAATGAGAAATTCAGGACGGACCCACTTCTAGCTTCTTCTGGATTTATATAAACCTGACACTGTGATGGGCCATCAGTTTAACCCTCTCCCAGCACTTTATGAAAGTTTCAAAACAATAAAAAAACCAATTAAACTCAACCTCTTTTTTTCTTTCTTTCTTTCTTAAATTCTGTCTGTCCACAGGAGTCTCCATCAGGGCGGAGGAAGGCCTTGGCCACTAGCAGTATAAACATGAAACAATACGCCAGTCCAATGCCCACACAGACAGATGTCAAGCTGAAGTTTAAGCCCCTGTCCAAGAAGGTGGTGTCAGCCACGCTGCAGTTCTCCCTCTCCTGCATTTTCCTCCGCGAGGGGAAGGCCACGTAAGTTTTCATCTTCTTATAATATGACCCACATCCTTCGGAAGTGGTTACACGTTGCGATATTCAGCAGTGTTCCAAGTTGTTTGTAACCCTCACTAGTTATAACATTAAGTCTGATTAAGCATGTAGGAATAATACCTATCAAATTGGGCCCAACACCCATGTTCACTTCTTCCTTGTTCTGTTGCCTTTGCTTGTGTTGAGTTAATCAGTGTGTCGTTTCATGTTTCAAAAGTAATTTAAGCAAGCACATAGTGAGATCGTCATGTTAAATTTTGTTGCAGGCTGTCTTTAATCACAAGACCGTTACAGCAGTCAACTTTGAATGTCTCACACTAGCGACTGATTGGAGCCACAGATATCCACATGACTCTTTCACATTGGTCACAATTAATTTTGGACAGTCTGGCTTCATTAGGCTCTAATTTAGAGTCTAGTAATGAAGAGACTTTTATCCACTGAAGGGTATGAAAGGATATTTTTTAAAAAAGTAATAAAGTTGCCAAGTTTGCAGCAAAGAGGACAAGTAAAGCTGTTGATAATCCCTGCTGTGAGTAAGAGAGTAATTTGTGTTACCCTTTGCAGACCAGTAACACATGCTTGGTATAAAAGTCTAGCTAATACCCTTTTTATGTCACTTCTAACCAGAGGTGACTGAAAATCTAAATTTTCTTTGTTAATCTGTTAGAGGGTGAAATTTTGCTTTTTGTTCCATTTATCAGTTTAAATTATAGGTACATACAGACACACACACACACACAAAGACACTTGTCAATCATTTTAAGATATTGAACCATCTTTCATTTGAAGACATGCTTTCAGTCAGTGTTTTCTGTTTGTTATTCATTTTAATTTGATGGCAGCAACTTTCATTTAAAGATACCCCTCCCCACACACACAAACACATATACACTGAGCATGAGCAAAGCGGCGAGGCCTTTGTTGTGTCGCGGATGGCGGGTCGATGGCGCGTAACCCTTGTTAACCCTTCGGGGAATGATGTCGACCACACACAAACAAACTCCATCACAGCAGTTCAAATGAGCCCATGGGCCTGGGAAACACCAAACACAAAGAACAGAGAGGAGAATACAGCGATTATGATGGAGCGGTGGTATCGAGGGACTGTGGGAAGGGGGGCGCACAGAGGACTACATAAAATACAAGAAATGATGTAGAAATGCATCAGTCGGGCAGAGGCTGGAGTCAAAACCAAGCTTTAAAGAAGCTTTAAAATGTGAGGGAGGGGTGTTAAAGTTTTAGGTGTAAAAATGGTCGTCTGGAGTGAAGAAATGATTGAAAGAGATGGATTTTAAATGTATGTGGGGTGTGTAGGTTAAATTGTCCTATCTGTCTTGATGATTTTCAGCTGCATGTATTTCTCTATCTATGTGTATACATTGTTTTGGTTCTTGGTTTTTTTTGGGGCTGGTGGGGTCCAGTGATGAGGACATGCAGAGCCTGGCCAGCCTGATGAGCATGAAACAGGCGGACATTGGCAACCTGGATGACTTTGAGGAGGAGAATGAGGAGGATGAGGAGAACAGGGTCAACCAGGAGGAGAAAGCTGC